TTTTTTTTTTTTTCTTTCATTTGTTTAGTTTTTATTGTCGAAGAGAACCAATCCTCCTTTTGGCTGTGTCTTTTAGTTTATACTGTTTTGCTTCTTCTCTCTCACTGGAATGAATTCTTTTCTGCCGAGTGCTTGCAGCTTTGCTTACACATATAATATAATACAATTAACAGAAATAACAAAGGAAACAAAAGTAGCTAGCAAAGATATGCATGTGTATGTGAACATGCTAACTATTATGTATATAATATGCATGGCATGCATTATAATATGGTTATTGATATTTTAAATAAATATTTTAAATCCTATTAATTTGGCCTAGTTGAAACTTTAGTAAAAATGTTATAGGGATGAAACTCTATCAATTTTTAAGAAAACAAGAGTTCCTTTATCTTCAAATTTCTATGGTAAAAATAAAAAAAAATAAAACTATATTAAAAGTTAAATAAAAAAATTATTCCTAACTTGTAAATCCGTAACATCAATTATTTCCTGCATTCTACAAAAAAAACTTGGAGAGAGGCAATAATTGATTCTTATTAGGCAAGTATCTATACATGTATCATGCACATGAGCCAAAAGAATGTATAGCTTGCTAGGTTACATAGATGCCTCTTTAACCTCTCTACATATAATAATTTATCTCAATTGTCTTTTTGTTGGCTTCTCTAAATGCAAATTTATTATTCTTACAGTGTAATCCATCCACAAGATTAAAGAAAACAAGCCAAAAATAAAGTTAGTGCAATTGGGAGAAGATGATGATGAAAACAATTGAAGAACTAACTGTTCTTTGGCTTACTTGAAAGATCAAAAAGAAAGAAAGGAACCCCATCAATGACAGGTAAATAAACAAATATATGTGCTTTGATTTGTATGAATCATTTAATATACTCAAAGTGATCAAGACTTTGAAGGAATGCAAAAACACAGGCCACCATTTGCTGCAGGAAAGAAGGGTGGAGATTTGGTCATATATACCAATTCAATTTGTATGGGACGCTTAGGTTGTACGAATCAAGTATCGTTTTCTAATATATTTGTCTGTCTCGGGGAAAGAAGTTAATTAGAACCTTCCAATGTGGCATTACGCCTCATTTCTTACATCATTCCTGAAGAACCTTCCTAAGATATGTTATCAAATTCAAACCATGCTCCTGTTATAGACTCACATCTAATATTTTTAACTATTTGATAATTTATACATATAAGAGTAACACTAACGCGTAAGTGATTTTTTACTCTAATTATCATGGGAATGCACAATTACCATAACGAGGTTATACAAAAACAACTAATTTGAAATTTTTTTTTTATAATTTTTACATGTCATTAAATGAATAAATACATATAACATCACAAGTTTCAATAGAGTAAAATGAACTAATCATTGAATGACATGTAAAAAGTTATATGAAAAATTTGTAAATAATAATTGTCTTCTAATCATTTTCCATTATTATAGGAAATTGAGAAAAAGATAATCACCCCCTTCAAATATGATATGAACGCAACTTTATAAAGTTAATGATGGCTTTCAAAGTCTCCAGTTTGTACCTGTTTTTACCGTAAACTGAACCCTTAAAAGGGAAAATATTCAATGTTTTGATACTCTAGAAATTATTTGTGTTCATTCATTGTCTAAAATGACGAACCCTGTTTCAGAATGCTCCGTGCACCCATCCTCGGCATCAGCATCAGTTTTGCTACTGGCATTATTCCATTGGGACTCCATCTAGGGCAAATCTGTAGAAGCAGAAAGATTTGATGATTTAGTGCCTTCTTTAGTTGAACTGGGGTCTGAATCTGAATCCTCTGCTTTAACACAATCCTTTAGCGGTTCTTGTTCTTCTGAGTCCTCCAGTAGAACATCTGCCACCACAGCAGCTTTCTCTGATTCAGATTCTGCTCCAGAATCCTTCTTGTCAGTATCGGCCACAATATCAGGTTTGCTGTCATTTTGTTGGGGAGGTACTGAAGTAGTCCCTGGCATGGTATTCTGTGAGTCAGCCTGCGCTGGTGTGTCCATATGAACTATAGGCTGCTCTGAAGAATGGGGATTAGACTTTGGGGAAGAGAGAATCCGAGTTATATCTCCACTGATCTGTTCCAATGGCTGGAAGTTCTTCAACTTGAGACATGTCTGAGCTGATTCATGAACATTATCATCCACTAACTTACACATCTGCCCAAAAATCAGAAGCCACAAGAAGTCTGTTAATCAGCATGATGCTTGATCCTTTTCTTCATTCTGTTTTTATAAATTTCTTTCACGATATCATTGAAATTGCATTCTGTCTGCTTAACCCTAAATGTTGAAACCGCATACCTCATTGTAAAGCTGAGCCAACTTTGATCGATCCGCATCATCATCACAAGCAGTTGCTGCCATCTCCTCTGAAGCTGCACAAGGATAATAATATTAGTAACCACCACAACAAAATCAAATACAAAACTAGCTGTATAAACCAGGTCTGGCCTATAATAGCAGTCCAGACCAGAAACTCATAGTGTATACAAAGATCTGAATTCTGTCCATGCAACCAAACCTCCCCAGTCCACCAAAAAAAAAGCAAATAAAAAGGAGCAAACACATGACCCAAAAAAAAAAAAAAAAGAAACACGATGCCAACACTACCACAATATTTCAGTGAAAATCTTCCACTTTATCTTCTACTTGAAATTGGTTAAAAGTTTATTTTATAATTCTTGCATTTTCTGCAGTGCAATTACCAGCCTTGTCTATATACCCATGAGCAAGTTTCCTAAGTAACAGAAGTACCAGACATTATTCTCAACAAAAATATAATAAATATATATATTTAAGATGAACATACCAATTACTTCTACTTCAGGTAACTGATCAATCACTTGGAGATCTACATCTGAGGAACTTGCACCTGGTGTGTCTACAACCTTTGGTCCACTCTCAGGCTCTTCACTCATTAGCACATTTGACTTTACATCACCCTGGAGATCAATTGTAAGTAATTGTAAATAATTCTTTCACCTCTTATTGAAACACAGTAAGCCCCAAAAATACTATGAGAAACTAACTTTTCTCAAGATGGCTTATCTCAGACATTCTAACTAGGTAGTTTTTTTGTTTTTTTTTTTTAACCCAGTGTTCATGTACCAATCAAAAGAAAATATCAGCCAACATTTAACAATTGCAAGAAACAAATGAACTTACAAAATATACTTTCTGGTACTCTGCATTGAGCCCTTTTTCCAAAAGAAGCACCCTTTTTTTAATAAATTCAACCTGTCTTCTCTGCATATCTCTATAATGATATAATATAGAAGAATCTTGATATAGTGCTTGGTTCCCAGAACCTGCTGCCCCTGGGGCAACATCAGCTCCTGCATCATTCCCCATATCATTTCCCTGAATCTGGTTGCCAGTTGCTCCTGCATTTGCTGTATTAGCACCATTTTGTACTTGAGGTCCAGCTTGACCTGGGACAGGTAGATTTATAAAGGGAAGATTCAACTCTTGACAAATGAGCTCCTGAATCCTCAAGTCTTTATCATCAACAATAGCTTGCCATCTCCCATATCCATGTCTTAAGATTAAGAAACAAAAGTTAGAAAAAACAACTGAAAATGAGCTGGAATGGAATGCAGAACTTCCCAAATAGAACATGCTTATTGCGTATTATGTAACTTTTCTGCTACACCTGTAACAAACCTGAACTAATTTTAAAAAAACCATAGTTACTGCAATAGCAGAGTCCACAAGCTCAACTAAGCCAATCATGAAAACAAAGCACAGATGATACACAAAAGTCAACCAGGTCTTTGGTCAGTTAGAGAATTTAACACCATGTAAGGCATCCAGGCTTCAGCCTCACTGTACTTCAAATATTACATAAAACTGCCTACAATGTTTTGCCATTAATAAAATGATATGCACTTGCTGTTATTTCGAGTTATCTCACTTGGCACTTAATAAAATTTTAACATTAACAATGAAAAAGAAACCAAATATCAGGAAAAATTGCAACAATACAGTGTATGTTCAAGAATTTAAGGGATTCATACTTTAGAACTGCACGCAGTAATACTAAATCATGCTCCTCTTTCCAAAATTTTCCACCCTTCAACCCTGCGTATCGCAAGATGATATCATCTGTAAAAAGCCGATTGCTGGGCTTTTCTGAGGCATGCTTCACCTACCATTCAAAATAACAATATAACAAAATATACATAATTAGTAAATCAAGTCCTAGAAAGGTATAGAGGTTAACGAAGAAATTACATAAAAATTATGAAAATAACTATAAGAAATATACATCTTAAACATGAAAAGTGAAGCTAGAGTTTCTCATTTTAATATATAAGTTGACATGCAAAGTGGGTTCATGATGAAATAAATGTCCTTGGAATTTATTCTCATGCAAGAGAGCCTGATTGAAAAGCAACATAATCAAGAACCAAACACACAGGGTAGGACCAGAGACAATGTGCTAAAAAAAAAGTCAAAAATTTTTCTTGCTAAACAGATTAGGAGGAGGTATGGACTTGGCCAGAATGACTACTGCAATTTTCACCTCACTGCAATAATAAATGGAAGTTAGAGAGCTTGATATCTCAATCTCATTACATTAACAACTAGACAAACACATAATGATATTATATCTTTAGTAATTAAGAATCCAAATGTTTCAAGAAGATAGAAAAGCATCTTTGTCCAACCAAATATGACATGAACAAGTATCTCAAAAGACTTGTTCATGACTGAAGTGAAATCAAATTAGCTTTATCCTCCAATAAACAGTAAAAAACTTGAACAAATCCCAAGTAAACAAATGCAGTCAAACCCCTATTTTAAAGCAAGACCAAAACACCAATCCAAAAACAAATTTGAAACCTCAAGGGACAAGCACCCGTGTAAAGTCAACCCAAAAGAAACATAAACCAATTGAATTATGGGAATCCTAATAGAAAACTTACCTTATCCCGTATTAACATCAGGGTAGCGAGCCTAACAAGTACATCTTGAATTCTAAGACCTTCTTTTGGTACCCCATCTACAACCAAAGTCATTTATTGTAAATGACATATAGAGGGCAATGAAGTCTAAACCAAATTTTGAAAGTAAAAAGAAATCCATACAGCAAGGAAAAATCACCTGAAAATGTTGGTGAGTCAGTTAGGTCTTCCGAGATGTGAGTCAAGAAAAGGGTACCATAGCTGAATACAAGACGGGAAACAAAATCTCAGATGAATAAGACATATGATAAATGGAAACAAACAAAACAGAATTCATTGAAACATTGATTTGGAAGAAAAAAAGAAGTAACTTTGGGGCACCAAGCAAAAAATTAAAGCAAATAAAGTAAAGACTGGACAAAAGCTTGTGCAATGAATGAAATCAAGACTGAGTAATAATACTGGAAGTATTTCATGGAAATGAAAGATGATCACATATGCAGAAAGCTTATTTGTTGTTAGCATGACTTCAAAGAACATCACATTTGTAGTATACCAACCCTAAAAAAGATCGTGTCATTCCAATCTAAGGCACAATAAACAGTTAAACACATAATGTCACTAACTATAAAATGGTTGTCTATGCCACCATACATGTTCAAAACATTTTAATCTATGCACACCTAGAAAAGAAATAACAACTAAGAAGTAAAGTTCATATTATACTCTCTTATTTCTTCAAAAGTTTTCTGTTTTAACCGCGGTGTAAACTCCTTCCAGTCATATTCCCCAACTCCAAACCTGCAGAACAACCATACAATAAGTCAAAGTCAAAGTGAAAGACACCAAACTAATGCTATAGCCTATAAGGCTTGGGACTTAAAACCCGTAACTGCTTCACAACCCCACACCACAATTATCTCGAGCAATATTTTGAGACTTGCAACTTCACCCACATAACATGCATGTCCATGCATGCACAGTGTGCACATACTCTTAGAGAGCAGGGGAAAAGTGACAAAAATATTACAACATAAGAGCTGACCTCATCAATATCTGAACAAACACAGCCCTCTGGCTCTGGTTGAAACCAAGTACTCTGAATGATTTTCCTTCGCCCTCCATTAAAGGAATTGGCTCTGCGCTATCCACTACAAAGATTTGAAAGAAATTGGAAAAATGGTCACATCAAAAACAAGATGATTTATAATTTATTTCATGCCATCAACTTGTCAACACCAATTTAGGACCAGTAAAATATACCACGAGCTCTTTTTCTATAAGGCCTTCTCCCAGATTGCATTCCAGATGAAGTATCAACATCATTCAATTCAGCTTCAAAGTTATCATCCTCCCCATCAGAGCTTACATCTTCCAAACCAGCAAGGTCATCTTCTTCAACAGATACCATCTAAACAGATTTAAAAGACTTTAGTGAAATTCCTTTACTAGGAAAATGTAACCCAAAGAAAAAAAGGTCTATTTTCTAAGTTACTGCATCATATTCTAATCAACATCCTGAATGTTGAACCACTCCTGGGAAGAAAAATAGAGCAAAAGAACCTGGAGCATTTAAGGCAGCATTTAAAGCAAGATAACAAACCAGAGTCTGAGACCATCAAGGTAAGAATCAAGGGTTAGCTTAGTTATTTTTCTATAGAACTTGACACAGAAACAACAATCAGATACCTGCTTACGACTTCTCTTTCCTTTTCCCAAAGCATTAAACTCCTCTATTTTATGGACTTCATATTTATCTTTTAACAACTCTTCCCAATAGCTTGTTCTTTCAGAACTGCTCATTGTAGATTTATCTTCAATGGCAACTCTTCGCGCTTCCTCCTCTGCGGCAGCCTCTGCTTCATCAATAAATTCAAAATTTGCTACCTATAACAAATAACAGCAGTTGTTCCCTCAAGAGCAAATAGAACAAAATTGAAAGGAGGTTCACAAAGAAATTACAACACTATATTTGAATATGTAATATAAAAAAACACAACAATAATAACAATAATGAAAGATGAAGATTTATTTAGAGAAGATCCAATTGTCTGGCAGTCACCAAAACTAGTCTCCAAGAAGAAAACTACTTAATGAAATATAAATCAAGAATGCAAAGTAAAGCAGTGCATAAGGCAAAGTTCTCCATCTGGCAGAGTCACCACACTTGAAAAACAAAAAAAATTTGTAAGCTACACAATTTCTCACAACAATTTGGCGCCCAATCCAATTATTTTTATTAATTATCCTCCATTATGAAAAGATAAGAACAAATGTTCTTCACGGTGTTACCAAAAAGACATTTTGCATAGTAAAAATACCATTTTGTCCTCAATTGATATTATAATACTTAAAAATATAATAATAAAACACAACTAAAGGACATATTTGCCCTCATCTTCTTCTCCCCCTGCTCTCCCTAATCTTCATTTCCCTTCTCCATCTTCATAGTTCATACCAGATAAAAACCCAACAAATAAGTTGAAAACCACTACAATTTCAACAATTTTGAAGCAAAATTACAGCAACCCAGAAACACATTCTTGAATAAGACTTTGCTTTTTGATTATTGTGAGGAATCTGTGTAAAATCATACAGGAGAAGGGTTAATTAAAGCCAAATGTAAAACATTGGTGCAATCTCTGTTCCAGCAATACTCCTCCAAATTAAACCAACTGGAATGAAAAATGGCAGCTTCAATATCACAAGAATCTCATAACAAAATCACATTTTCCAATAAAACACCAAAACAAGAAGAAAACAAACTTGCTACGAATCAAATCACTGCATAATCATATACCTATCCATTTCTATATCACCACAGAAATCCAAAAAATTCAAACAAAATTGAAATGGGTCTCCAAGTATACATGAAAATTGGCTTAGAATGGAACTAAGAAATCTAATTTCAACCAAGGAATCACAAATTTCTTCTTTCATTCTCTCTGTTCTTCAGCCACTCACTTCCCACGCTGCACCCCATCCCACTGGAGCCTCTATTGGATCTGGCGACTGATTATGAACATAAGATCTCTAGTTGTGGGGTTAGACACAACCCTGGCCACTGGGTTTGCAAGAAACCAGATCTGTGTTTTCCTAAATTTTTTTGTTCTTCTGTTGTTCTATTTAAATATTAATGGAATTGATGAATAGTGCCAGATCAGCTAAGTAAGATAATTTTGGGGGACAAAATGGTATTTTAACTTCAAAATTAAGGACAAAATGGTATTTTAACTTCAAAATTAACAGAGTAGACGGATTGATGACGACATCATGATGTCAGCTGTTAAAAAAAGAGGTGCGTTGCTGTGATCAACAAGTTCCAGCAAAAAAAGTTAAGGTGCTGATAGTCCACAACTGTGTAAGTTGAGAGGCTGATTTATTTGAAGATGAAAGGAATTATGAAAAATGATCCAATAACGATGACAATCAATATAGAGATGTCCAGGACTGTTTAGCAGGCTTTCAAGGTAACTTGAAATGTCACACATCAACATAAAATCAAGAATGCTCCTTGTAGATCAATTGAAACCTTGTATAAACTACTAGATGGAAACAAGCTGAAGAAAATATTGATTAAAAAGCATTTAATATGGAAATAGAAAGAACCTTGAAGGCCTTCAAAAATCCATCTTCCTCTTCATCATCCACTGAAGCCTCCTCATCTCCAGCTTGTTCGCGATCAAGTAATCTGTTGAAGCAAGAACATATAAATCAAAATTTTAAACTGCAGAAGCCATAAATCAACTAGATTCCAGTGATGCCCACCACCCATGGGTTGAGATTTGCCAGATAAATGTGGACTGGGTGGTTCACAGATGCTCACAAGACTAGTCAGGCCAAAGGCATGCTATCAATTAAAAAAAAAAAAAACCCACCTAGATTCTAGTGATGAGAAAAGAAAAGGGTACCTATCTATAGCAGCATCATCATAACGAATTTGGCGAGATTTTCCAGCTTCATCATTTTCATCAGCAAATAGCTCTTTTGAGCCATATCTAATGATGTCATCCAACTCTTCCTGAAGTATACAACAATCAAAAAAATTTTAGTTACATTTCCAACCACACTGATTAGATTCCTTTCTTCTGGGCCATTGGTTGACAAAAACTGAAACAAAATATACTTTGAACTTAATATATTCTTCCATAGAATCAAACAAGTATAACTTCTTCAATGACAACAAACATGAGAAAAGGAAAATGAAATAACAATGGGATTTTGAGAATCTAAATTACTTTCTTAAGATAAAACTTAGGAGAAAAGATGCACATCTGACCCAATAGTTTTTGGAGCAAAAAGAATGATTATGGCATGTTCCAAGCTTGAATCTTAGTTTTCTATTAAGTGAAATCCTAAAGCCTATTTCTTGATATTTTGTTTCAAACATTTATCGATAAGTCCTAACTAATCTTGATTGAACTACCAGCAATATACCTTCCATCTTCTTCAAAAACAACGAAACCCACTCCTAGTCTATGCTATTCCAGCATTGTATTACAAATAACAGAAACGGAAGATACTTACCTGGTTAATATTTTGGGCCTTTAGCCTGCCAACAACAAGATGTTCCAAAACCATTTTCTTCTTAGTCATCTGCATCATCCTTTCTTCAATGGTTCCTCGAGTTATAAGCCGATATATCATTACCTGCAATTACCGAAAATACTTCTTATGTCAAGACAAGCCCCCATAGCACCCTTCTGCTCAATACAGTCAAAGAAAAAGCTTTAACCTTGTTTGTTTGTCCCAGTCGATGAGCTCTTGCCATTGCTTGTAGATCAGCATGGGGATTCCAATCACTACAGAAGCATAAATAGTTAAAATAATACCTTTTATAGCTCCAAGGTGATATTCAAAATTTTCAATATCACTTTCTTTGATTCGGAGGCAGAGCAGCTGAAAAGAAATAGAATGTGGGGAAAAGGCAGGAAAGAATTGCTTGATTCCAATATTGAGTTTGATTGAAAGGGCAGAAAGATTTACTCTCCTTCAAGGTTCATTATACTCTTTTTTCCAAATTTCGGTTGGAAAGGAGGGATCAGAATTAAGGATGATTAGGTGAAAGGATAAGGAATAACGGTATGGACTGTGCCCATTCAAGTACCAATAACATTATAATTGTCAACAAGCTAAGCCTTAAACTTAATTACTGAACTACCTATATCAAAATGCATTGCCATCATTAACAGCAAAGCTGTTACATGATTAAAAAAATATAAAAATAAAAATAAAAATAAAATAAAAAATGAAGGGAAGAGGAAGAAGGAAATCTAATACTGCAATCAGTTCACCTGTCATATATGATAACCGTATCAGCTGTTGCAAGGTTAATTCCCAAGCCACCAGCTCTAGTAGACAAAAGAAAGCAAAATCTCGAAGAATTTTTGGCATTAAACCGATCTATTCGTATCTGCCTCTCAGCTCCACCAACTTTTCCATCTATCCGTTCATACTGCCAGTTCTGTCAATAAAGAAGTGAAATAACACATTGAATCAAATTATCAGCATGGACCAGTAAAATAACTGTTTTAGTGAAGTTCCATGCTAACACTTAAAAGAAATGACCCCATGTATGCACCTTATAAGAGCAGTAATCTTCTAATAAATCCAACATGTGTTGGAATTGTGAATATATAAGAACTCTATGTCCCTGCTCTTTAAGTTTTACCATCATCTTATCCAACAATTGCAACTTTCCAGAAGATTCCAGGAACTGTCTGAAAGAAATAAAATAAAAGAAAAAGAAAGAATCAAAAAACAGAGGCATTCAATGACCTGATACATATTTCTTCAGAAATCCAAAAGTTAAAAGATGAATACTTTCAATTCAAGAGTCTCAGTCTAAAAGCAAAGATGACAAATAGTTAAAAGAAATGTAAACATATAACTTTACTTGTAAGCTTCTTTTGTATCTTCAATCCCTGGGTCAACCCCTTCTAACATATAAGGATGACAACAGAGCTTCCGCAACTCCATAACCACATTAATAAGAGAAATCTAACATGACAAACATCCAACCACAATAACACGTCAGCTAAAAATTTTAAATAAAAAGGACTAAAACTTTATTTCACTACAGCAGGTGTGCTTACTTGTGGACCTCCACGTCTGGTAAGTATTTGGTAGTTACGAGTCAAAATAGCCTTGTAATATTCTTTCTGCTTGTTGCTCAATTCAACACGTAAAATGAGTTCTTTTTTTGGAGGGAGTTCTTTCATGACATCTTTCTTCACCCCTGCATTTTATTGGAATTTTGCAGCCATCCCATATTTCAAACAACATCATTACAATCTGAAGGAATTAGTGCAACTATAAATAAAGGATCAATTTAATAAAAAACAAATTAATTAAGGATCAATGTGCTATTAACTTCAAGAAAAATAGCTTTAGCAAGTCCAGAAAAGTAGAAACTCAAAAAAATATAAGCTTGTCAAATCATGAGTTAAAGCGAAAGCACCAGTAGTGCTTTACACCAATGCCTGACCCAAAGAAGGTCTCCACAGGAAGGCATAAAGATGTCAAAATTAAGAGCCACCAGTGATATCATTATATTCATTTGCCACTTTGTGAAAATAAATGTGCAAGGACCAACTCACTCGAAAGGAAAGAGACACTAAAGGCCTATATGCATGACATGACATGGAATACATTATGATGAGCTACAATATTTTTAAAGCAACTAGCATAGCTAACTTAAGTGATAATGATATTTGAGCATGCCATGATATTTCAAGGAAAAGGTCCTCAATAGCGTTTGTGGAGAAGAAAATAGAAGGGGAGTAGGTGTGAAGTTGAAAGGGTAAGGAATTGAAATTTGTTACATACCAAAAACTAATAATTGTTGGATATAGTATAACAATGCAAAGAAAGAAATTCAAGGCAAATCAGATCCACACAAAAAGTAACATTCATCAGACACAACTAATATAAAGAAGTTTGTGAAGAAAGAATCTAAATTGCAGTTGCATCACTGATATTTAATTGGGAAAGTTTAAGATAGATACTTCTCAGGAGATGTGGGGCCAGCATCTTATGAAGCCGGGAAATCTGCTCCTCTTGACTAATATCCTTAAATTCTTCCTGAAACTCCTCTAAACTTCCAAACTGCATGCAGTTAATCAACAAATGCTTAGATTCCTAAAACTAATTACCAGTCCTGAATTAACTGATTCATCTTCCACAAAACTTATAATACTGACCTTCCCCGCATCAAGGAAATGCATGAGCATGAAAAGTTCATCCAGATTGTTCTGAAGATCCACAGAATGAGTTTCCACGGGTAAGCTCATGAAGACACCAATTAAAAACTAAGTCATTTAATGCATTCCTTAACTAGTGTAAAATCAGAAAACCTTAAAACAAGGCATGAGAAACTTCATAACCTACTTTTCCCTTTTGACAAGGTTAGTACAAGTAATATAGGCAGAAGCAAATTTACCCCCTTTTTGCCTAAGGTTAAGTAATAGGATCTGGCCAAATAAAAATGGTTATGAAATAAGATCAATTCATCCTTGAGAAAGACTTAGGAACAAGCAAACAAAGTTCATGATGGCACTATAGATACAGGAGTGCATATTTTGCTACAGATACAGGGTTAGAAATATACAATTACACATTTCCCAGAAAAAGTTTTAAGTTACACTTCACAAACATAAATACAGGAGTGTGCATATTTTGCTACATGGATTGTAGCATCATTTAGTGTTGAACAATAGTGAGGCAAAACCCAAATGTTAGCCAATACCAAAAACAGTATCAAGAATGCCCACAGTACGGCTGACTAAAAGGAAAAAATGAAGAATGCCCATAATTCACATCAATCCTAAAACCAATCAACAAATGCAATTAAACTATTGACAAAAGATGTCCAAATCATATGTTCATGTTTCAGTTTACCCCATTAAACAGTAAATCATAATGCGTTCATCCTATTGTCAAACTACATAATCAAAGTATATTGAAGAAGCAAGACAAACTGTCATTGAATATGCCTAAAATCTCCACTAGACCCAAAAGATCTTAACAAATTGTGACGAAATAATAAAAAGAGAACAAACCTGAAGAGGAGTTCCAGTTAAAAGCACGCGATGGTTACTTGTATACTGCTTCAGTGAAAGAAACAACTTGGAGTCCTTATTTTTGAGCCGATGGCCTTCATCAACAATCTAAATAAAGAAGCAAGGGTAAGCAAAAACATAGATTGAATACTTCTAAATATACTCTATGAGATACAGAAATTACCATGCACTCCCACTTTATTGGTTTCAGTGATGCACTGTCCAAGTTGATCATCTCATATGATGTTAAGAGGACATCAAATTTTATCCTATCTTGTTTGCTTTCACCAACTATTTGACCTGATTTCTTTTTCTTGATCTTCTTATGATTTTTAGGATAATAAAACTCATATTCTCTAATAACAGCACGAGCTTGGGCAGAGCCGACATACATAACCTGGACCACATGTAGTTGTATTCAAAATAGCATCAAGTGAAAATCAACATAGGTAAATTGAGAATCTCCATATACATACAACATTCATTTGAGGTGCCCATGTAGCAAATTCTCGTTCCCAGTTTCGTAAGGTGGATAGTGGTGCTACAACCAAATGAGGAAAGAAATTCTCTTCAAAAAGAGAGGCCAAAAAAGCAATACTCTGTATGGTTTTACCTGCAAAGGAAGAAAGCAAAGCCTTAGCAATCCCATCATCAAGAAGCAACCTATCTCAAACCAGAAGGGATGAAGGACAAATAGAAGCAATACCAAGGGGAGGAAAAATAAAAATGGAACTTACCAAGACCCATCTCATCAGCAAGTATAACATGTGTTTGTTTGGACCAAGAGAAACGTAAGAAGTTCAGCCCTTCAAGCTGATATGGATGAAGCGAACCTACAGTTACAAAAGTCACTCTCATAAACAGAAAGATCAAGCTAGTGACACCCAAGCAGACATGTGTTGCTAGATTGCAATAAAAGTAACACATACCTCCAGAAAGAAATTCTGGACTATGTTCACACTGTTGAAATTCTTTTGACCTTTTTTTGAAGTCAGCAGCTTCTCGAAGGCTGCTCTTCTGCTCACTGTCAGAAGCTCTGTGAGACCTGGACTGGATTTTCTTAAATCTTTCAATTTCAGGTTGAAATGCAGCTATGTCTGATTCAAACTCCCAATAACATTCATCATAGGAAAGTTCTTTATACTTCACAAAATATTCCTTTTCATCCTCTTCTCCCCTAAAACAATCAATGCATCAGCTACTCAGCCAGAAATCAAAATGCTCAAAACAAGGCACTTAAAAACCAATCTAGATTTTCAAATAAGATAAACCTAAAATTCATTGCAAAAACAGAAAGTAAGAAAGGATAACAATCATCCAAAATTTAACTAGAGGATTAAATTGCCCATGGCTTGCACCTGAAAACATTTTGTGTCTTAAATTTCAATATTTGAAGATTTAACATCATCTCCAGATGATATGATAACATCAACAACAATAATAAATAAATCTAACCAGCAACCATCATAGTGAGCATTTTAAGACAGATTGAAGTGAATTAATTTCACTTAAAAGAATAGAAATTAAAGTTAAATATGTATATGGAAAAAGAGTCCCAGATGGATAAACCTGCAAGCAAGAATTCGATCAACAGTAGTCCACTCAGATCTAATGGCAACAAAATCATCCTCAGAGCTATTATTTGAGGCCATTTGTCGGTGGAAGTTGTTCACTTTAGTTTTCAGACGAGGATTTGACTTGAAGGCTTTATGGAACTCTTTCTCAGGTACCCTAACAGGGAACATGGGGAGAAAAATTAGAAGCAAACGAATGACTGCTACAAAATAGACACACACACACACAAAATGCCCCATCAACTGTGAGGATGATCATAAAATCATGCCCTGCAACCAGCAACGTGCAGCAAATGTATATGTCACAAAGGATAAGTCAAAAGCAACCCTTAAGATCATTGCTCTTACAAAATAATAACAAGATTTATAAATATTCTGCCACAAAAACTAAGGAATTACCAAGTGCAGTGCAAGTAAGATAATCCCTTCCATTTTACAAGGTACTGTTTCACAAAAATTTGTTTTGAACCCAGTTTCGAAGCATCACTATCTTCAGCTGCTGTGGGACGCATTTCACAATCCAGTATCTTCTCAATATCATTAAGAGGGCTAACCTGAAGAGAACAAAATAAAAATCCTCAGCAACTGCAAACCATTATAGTTCTTCAACAGAAGCATTCGTGGTTCACAAGTCCTCAGGAAACATACACATTCAGGGCATCTCCAGTTGTCAGGATGAGGACCTCTTAGGGACGGAGTTAAACATTTGGCATGGTAGGTATAAGTACATGTTGAACAACTCAGAAGATTCTCACCTTCTCCACAGGCTTGACATGAATTTTCTTTCTGTTAAGAAGCAAGACAGAAAGAAAATTTATAAGAGTTATAAAATGAACTATCGATGATAATATGTTCTAAATCCAGATTGTGAAAAACAAAAAGATTTAATACATTAGGAAGTAGGAAAAGAAAAATAGTCATCATAATAAAAGGAATTTTTCCCCAATAAACATAAGAACCATTAGGGAAGAAGAGAAACAAACCGCATCAGTCCTGACTATTTGTTCAAGCTTCTCTTCAGTTTTCCCAGATTTTCCACGCACAAAATCAGAATCATCATCTGAATCATCTAAATTATAAATTGGCCTCCGATCTGATCTGACACGAAGCCTTTCAACCAAGCTACTCATGGTCTGCAGATAGACAAAATATCTATATTATCTTGCAGACTCTAAAGGAGCTCTAACCATCTAAATAGATAAATAATAAAAACAAGGATATGTGAATAACATTAAATTTATAAGAACAATATATATATATACATATATTTAGCCATCAAGGAGTTTGTTTGAAAAATAATAATAATCCTCTCAGTAATATTTGTGAAAAAGTGTGGTCTTTCAGTCTTTTACATCCATACTTTATACAACTATCTGATTAAATTATATAAGTGCTTACTTACTTTTTAATTTATTTTTTTTTAAACCTTACAATACTAAACATTTAACGAATTCATAATTAAAGAGAGTCAATTCAGAAATTACAACAATTCATAAGAAAAAAAAGAAAGGATTCATAGAAATGAAACTTACTAGTAGATAAATAACAATCATTTTTCATTTCTACCAATATTGGTCCATAATCTTATCCCTCTCTAGGCTCAATGATACTTCAAAATCTAGGTTGATTCTAGTTATGGTCAAGATCCCTGTTATGGAAAAACACTCAATTGTTTTATGTTCTAGCTTGCAATAGTAAAGAGCAATTTAGTGGACCCCTTATAATTATATTTCCCACTATTGCTAATAATTTTACAACCTATTATCATCTATAATCAATTGATAATATAAATTTAAATTCACTACCTTTGCTTAGTCATCACAAGTTCTTCTCCAACAACCATGTTTGGGCAACCTTTTCAACATTTACTTTTGCTATTGATCCTCTTTAATTCATAAGAACAAACCCTCAATAAAAAATATAATTATTTGTACAGCCTAATTTCACTCTCAAGCAGAAAAATGGTGATAGGATTATCACCATAAGCGTACCATAAGCACAAGCAAAATTGAACTTTACTTGATTCCATAAAATCTCAAATTGAATTGCTAGTTTTTGCAAACCCCTGTTATTTTGAAATCCATGTCATTTTAGTCTTATGCTTTATCCTTGAAACAGAAAGAAATCTCAGCAAATAACGTAACCTGTTAAAAGTTAAAACAAGGAGTTCTAACTTGTATCATACATGTGTAGGAATATCCACTAGACACGTATATACACATGCATACAGATAAAGTAATTATTGTCATCCCTTAGTTGAGTTGCTACAGATGGAAACAAACGGTTCACTACGTAATCAGGTAACAGAATCAAGACTACCACCATTGACGTAAGCAAAGCATATCACTAGTTAGTTTGCTACAGATGGAAACAAATGGTTCACCTCATAACCAGGTAACAGAATCCAGACTCTACTACTATTGACGTAAGCAAAGCATATCACCCATGCACAAAAATCCATTATGGTACCATATACAACACAAGTCATATAAAGAGGGAAGAAATAAATAAGGATAGCCAACTTCGAAAATAAGTTGACCACTCATGAATCTAACCAACTGAAAGTTTCTTTGAACCTAAATCCCACAAATGACGCTTCTTTCATGCAACAAAACTAGCTTCCATTCCACGGTCACCTCCTCACCAAAAAAACTAAACTAGATACAATATTTCATTAGAATATGATTCACTTGCAAGAGACAATATTTAAGAGCTAAAATTGGAAGTTGGCTGCAGATGAACATTAGAATCAACTAACAAGATGCTTGACTGACTGCCAATTGACATAGAATGTTCTATCACAAAAAACATAGAGCAGAGATAAAACCTGAATGCATTGAGGGTGAAAATATAGCAAATTAAATTTTCACTTGTAAAACAAATAGTTGATGGAATGGCCCATCTCTTTTTGTTTCAAAGTGCCACAACAACCTGAAAAACCAACAGGATCATAATAATGTGAAAAATAAACCACTCCACAAAACATCGACGAAAGATGAAGGCAATAGCCAAGTGGAAAAGCATGCAACACCACACATGCTTGGTAAATCTGTAGTACAAGGCTTGAATTCTTTTCTTCCTAAAGGACAGAACTTAAAATTCCAGCAACTCATATATCCAAACAGAAATAACATAGTTACAACAACAAATCTCCAGGTCAAACCTAGTGGAAATCTAAACTTTTCACAGTACCTCATTTTTTTCAAAATTTCCAACCCAAATCCGTACTGAACCCAAGCAATTTACAAAATAACACATGCAGACGTGTAACAACATACATAATTCTAATCAGAGCAACTCAAAACCCACGCAACAGGCAATTCCCTAGCTGCGACCCACTTATCAACCCTAAACTAAACCAGCAGAACCGCTTCACAAAACCACAACAAAAGCAACCCCAGCACACCCAACTGAAAAATTCTACATGAATAACCAAAATTAACGCAAAAACGCAATGGTGATTCACGAGAACCGCGCCACCGTCAAAAACCAACGCACCGTTTCCAGGTTTCTTAGCTTAAAAAAAGAAGAAATGATACATTAAACACAGAAAAACAATTCAGTGATATAGTTTATATAGAGAATTACCAGCAATGCTCGGATCTGAGATCCCGGAACACGATGAAATCCCGCCGGAACCAGAACCGGAGTTGGTGGAAGAGGAAAAAAAAAATTAAAAGTGGTAGAGTGAAAGGGGGGAAGGGAGACAAAACAGTAATTACCTCACTATTCTGAAATTTTTTTTGACATTAAAATCAGAACACCTGTTTATATATGGGATTCGGGAAGGTCATAATTACCATCCAAGCCATGTAATTGTGTAAGAATTTAAAGGGTATCGTTGTCTTTTCAGTTTAAGATCACAAAAGATGAGCATAAATTACGTGTGTTTTATCTTTTATATTTTTAAGGGTGTTGAGGGTAAAAATATACTGACAATCCTTATGTACAATTTTTTTTTATGTTCAAATTTCTTTATTATTTTTATGTGTTATTATATAAATAAATATATATAATATTATAAGTTATATTAAATTGAAAATAGTTAATAATTAAATAACATGTAAAATTATA